AGGTACTGTAGCAATATTGAGAATGTAAAATGTTTTTAACTGGTATATATCTGTACTTTCGAGCCTACATAGCTTAGTCTTTCCTTATTCCTCCACGTTCACTAATGCTCTCCTATCAACTAAAGCCATATGCATTCCCATCTCAAACTCTTATATAGTGTGATGTATGCAAATTAAGGCTTCAGTCATGGCATAGTTTTGATTGGTGGTTCGAAATTCGATTACTAACCACTCACTGTGTTACGGTTAGCGCAGATTAAAAAAACCCTTTCACAGATGTTTCGACCGCCTCCCCTTATATATATCAAGATATCCGGTATATATATATATACATATATATATATATATATATATATATATATACTGTATATATATATATATATAAATTCAAGATTGTCATATATATAGGCCTACGTGTATATATATAATACTGTATATAAAAATTATATATATATAAATTATATATATATATATATATATATATAATTAGTAATAGGAAAACGAGATAAACATAAAAACAATAAACGGCCACACAATGCCAACAATATAGAATCGATACTTAGTTCATTTTGTCATTCTGATTGCATTTTCTCTGCTCGGCTCTCGTGTTAACGCCTATCTTGATTATTATTTTATACATATTGTGTATCTGGTGGTGTTAAATCTGTTTAACCATGAAGCCTCCGTGGTCTAATGGTTATGACGCTCGCCTTGACAGCGACAGGTCGCAGGTTCGCGTCCCGCCAGAGGCATTTTATTACACAATTTCTTTATTCATTTATTTGCAGGACTACATTCGTTGAGAGCTATGCTACACGATGTATATTATGTCCTTTATTCGAACACTGTACTTACCTTTCTTTGATGATTTATGTATATAATTTAACAGTGTTAACGGCTATCTTGACTTATAATACAGCATATGCAATTATTTGTTTCTAGCCGTACTTATTGTGTTATGGAGTGTATCTGGTGGTATTTGAATCTGTTTAACCATGAAGCCTCTGTGGTCTAATGGTTATGACGCTCGCCTTGATAGCGAGAGGTCGCAGGTTCGAGTCCCGCCAGAGACATTTTATTACACAATTTCTTTATTCATATAGTTGCAGGACTACATTCATTGAGAGCTATGCTACACGATGTATTAATATGTCCTTTATTCGAACACTGTACCTACCTTTCTTTGATGATTTATATATGTATGTATGTTTTGATCTACTTGTTTATATGAGCAAAAACGTTTCTAGACAGTAGAATACAAAATGTTTTATTCGTGTACAGGTGGGCAAAGTGCGGCCAGCGAAAATGAATTAAAAACCCTATGTGTGCGGCCCGCCAAGCAACATTGGCTATAAAACATCTTATTTTTTAAGGCTAGACGCCGATTATGTAAAAAAGTAACATTAAACTGAGAATAAAGTGGTGCAAAAGCAGTGCTTTGAGGATTTTGGAAGCTCAATGGAAACATCAAAGTTTGGGTGGGGCTCTGGTGTTAAATCTAACTTTGGCCCTCTGACCGATTTTTATGCCCACCCCTGATACTGTCTCTTATACACATCTAGATGTGTATAAGAGACAGTTTTAGTTCCTTATGTGTTTTATTTCCCCACCCTCAAGAGTTACAGTAGGTCTTGCATAATAATTGTGCATTAGTACAAAGATTTTATCTAGTCAACAGGGATATTCCCCAGGAAATGAAGATAGATGGACAGACAGCCCCATTCAGTGACACAGGACCTTTCAGCAGGGGTGGCGCCAGAGGGAGGGGGCCCACAGCCCCCCGTCGGGGAGTGCTGGCACCCCCGTCAGGGAGAAAATGCACAATTCGTCGGGGAGAAAATAATATTACATGTATATTTTACATATTAGTAGACTCTAAAATCGATTAAATAAGCCTTTGAAACCCGTAAATTGTCGAAATTTTCGGGGGCTTCGCCCCCAGGAGCACTTTTTAAAGCTTTTAATCGAATCTCGACCACGCCCACTTTACTTTCGTCGGGGAAATCTGACACCTCGTCGGGGGCGCCCCCCTCCCCTCCACCTTCGGGGACTCGCCCCCCCTCCCGTCGGGCAAATCCTGGCGCCACCCCTGAACAGTATATCATTTGTTTGAAGACGTGTCCTGGTTGGGTTGTATCTGCGATATACCAGGGGCCCCTTGTAGTAAATATGTATGGCACTCACATTGACAGCAAGAAATAACATTTTAATTCCCGCCGCCAGGGGCACCTCTCTACAGTGGCGTAGAAAAATATTTTTCATTTGGGGGATGATTGACGTGTTAGCCAGTGTCGTAACAGGCGCGGAGGTTGGGGGGCAGGGGGAAACTTCCCCTCCCCTGACGGTTTTTACCGGGCTGACCAAGCCGTCGTACCGGGCTGGGTAATAAGAGAAAAGAAAGAGGGGAGAGGGAGGGAAAGAGAAAGAAGAGGAAAAGAAAAGGAAAGAAAAGAAAAAGAGAAGAGAAAAATAAAGACAAGAATAAAAAGGAAGATATCATAATGACCAGACTCACAACACCCTGCAACACCTTCTTCACTACAAAAACTGTCATAACTCCATTGATCTATGCTGCCCGATGGCGTAACCACTGGGAGACAAGGGGAAAATATCTATCTTTGAAAAATTTTCCCCACCCCTTTATAAATGCCCTTTCATCCCCTGAAAGTGCCTAAAAACCTTAAATTTCGCGAGAATTTCTTGTTTACATGGCCCAATTTCCTCTAAAAAATTGCACATTTTAGGGAGTTTTGATCAATTCTAACGAAATTAGAATTAAAATCACCGGGAGACAAGGGGAAAATATCCATCTTTGGAAAATCTTTCTCCACCCCTTGACAAATGCATCCTCTGAAAGTGCCTAAAATTCTCAAATTCTTTGCGCGCATTTCTTGTTACGGTAGGCCAATTTCCCCTATAAATTGCACATTTTAGGGAGTTTTCATCAATTCCAACGAAATTAGAATTAAAAACACAAAAATATTTTGCGCGCTTGGCGCGCATTTTTTAGGGCTTTTTAAAGTTTTTCCTTTTTAAGTTATTTAAACACATAATAGTCCCAAACTCAAGAAAGACAAATTTAAGATAGATCATTTTAACCTAAAAGAAGGGCCTCAATGTGTATAGATGGTGAAAGTATATGTTTGTAATAAATAAAACCATGATGAAAATGCTTATATTTAGTTTCAAACACACGTGTGTTGCCTATATTATAAATAAGATAAGACAAATGCATCCTCTAAAAGTGCCTAAAATTCTCAAATTCTTTGCGCGCAT